TATATATATATATATACCTATATATATAATACTTGAACATAGAATCTCGGAGATATGCTTACAATTTTCTTTCTTTTCTCTCCTTTTTTCTTTTCTTACGACAAGCGATATGAATACGCATGCAGTGCCTGTCGATTCTTCTCACACGTGCGTTTATCAACACGTGTTGATATTCGATTATTAACGACTTGTTGTTTGTCGCGCGTTTATTCGCGTTGTTTAGATGTTCGCATACTCGCATACAATTCATACGCATAAAAAGACCACAGGTTAATGTACGTGGTTAATAATAATACGTGGTTTTTTTTGTCGATTTCTCTTATTCTATAGTGAACAACGTTAAATGCAACGGTATTAACACAAGTGTACAATAAGTAATCAAATATACGATACAATGTTAACGGCAATGTCTATGAACAAATAAGATTAGGAATGATGAATTGTTAATCCTCAGCGATCATCGCGGACGAAATTTTACTCTGCGTGAATTATTTCTTTTTTTTGTTTTTCAGTATTATAATCGTACGGTATAATGGTGTGATCACGGTCTTACAAACTGTTTCACTTTCCATTCGGTTGAACAAAATGCAAATTTCACATTTACTTTTAATTTCGTTAAATTCCAAGGTAAAGGAATATAACGGGGTAAAATTTCATCCCCTCGAGGGTTAACGAATTGACAACATAAAGCATGAAAGCGACAAACAAATATTTCTCTATAAAGAACTTAATCAAAGAAATTAATGACTTAGTTAAAATTCAATTTTTTAAAAAAAGAAAAGAAACGATTCGTACGACATTCGTATCTTGTGTTACTTGGGTGCATTGTGTGACTTTAGGCGAGATATATCCTATATATACGAACATTTATGAATTCGTTAGAGTTACCGCTAGAATTTTTTCCTCCGATAGAACGTAAATTCCTTCACGACCGCTACACGTCTTACGTAATCGAAATGAACAGTTACCTTTTACTTGTCCAATTTCACCAATGTCATCTATTTCATCGTTAAGATTATTCCTTTAACAGTATAGCCATCTACAGATCTTATAAATTTCCGTAAACATCATTATACACAATACAATTATCAATCACATTTAAAAAGTTGAAAATCTCGAAGAGAAGTCTTAAGTTCGCTTTCGAGTTTGGAATCACGTATATCGAAACGGAGCGCAGTTTTCTCGAGTGAAATTCTAAATTATCGTTTTAAAAATCCTTGGACATCGTGTCAAATCGATAAGCCTCGGCTCGTCACCGTCGACCTTTCGAATTTATTACTAATATTTCCTCGCTAAAGTTTCATTTAAGTTTGTCAAGTTACTTGAATTCAGGCAATTTGAAATTAGTTTACCAGTCGAGCGAATCTTGAAGTATCTTTTCATCAACTCTTCCATTCTTCTTCTCAAGTTGGTCAAATCATTAGAGAGCGAATCGCTTGAATTCGAATAACTATGATTAATCTGAACGAAATTGATACCTGTGTTTTCGTAATTTTTGTCTTGAACATCGTCTCTCTCTCTCTCTCTCTCTCTCTTTCTCTCCTCGCAAGATAACTGGTAAAATCGGACGAGTATGTGGACTGACGTCGAAGCTGACGACGAATCGTTGCAACGGTCGCAGAATAAAAAAAGTGTATAATAAAAAAGTAGCCGGGAAAAGTAGTTACAACAAACTTTTTTCCTGGTCCCATTTCTCAAACATTATCGTCATCGGCATTTCTTATTCTCCGGACACATTTGGATTCCCGATATTCGATTCGACATGGCGAAGTATGCCTCCAATGAAGTTCCCAAGCTTTGTACTCGTACGTCGAACGATCCGATTTTTGCAAAACTTTTTTTTAGCAAAGTTTCCCCCCTCCCCCCC